GAGGAAACTGAGGCAGAGATTAAGTGACTTGCCTAGGTTCACATAGTTGGTAAGTGTTTTAGGCCAGATTTGAATTCAGATTTTTCTGACTCCAGGCCCAGTGCTCTACGAACTGAAGTTGGCTGACTTAAGGTCACACAGTTATGGTCAAGAAGTGAGACTTGAGGGGGCAGTTAGGTGGCACAGTGGATAGCGCACCGGCCCTGAAGTCAGGAGGACCTGAGTTCAAATCCGGCCTCAGACATATAACACTAGCTGTAACTCTGGGCAAGTCACTTAAAGTGAGACTTGAACCAGGTATTCTGAGGCCAGATCTCTCTACCCACTATACCAAATTGTCTCTCTCTATGACTCACGCCTAAAAATAAAATTTTAATCTTTCCCTCTTAAAACCAACTTAAATCATCAATATTATTGATTATTCTATTACCTGCCAAACTGATTTTTTTCCAAGAGTCCCCCAAACAGTTTAGCTTCTATAAGTAAATTCTTCAATCAAATGACAAAGGTATGTCAAATACTTAGTACCACATGCTAGACACTGTGCTAATTGCTGGGGACACAAAGAGAAAACCAGAAGTCTCTGCCCTAAGAAGCTTACACTCTAATGAGGAAACATGTATTTAAATGGATACCTGTAAAATCCAGAGTAGATGGAACGAACCTTACAGAAGAAAGCAACAGCAGCTGGGGTGGGTAGGGAGAGAGAAAACCAGGAAAGGTTTCCTGCATAAGGTAGCATGAGCTGAATCTTGAAAAGAACCAGGGATTCTAAGAGGGAGACATGAGAACAGAGTGCATTACAAGCATTGGAGATATCCAGTGAAAGATATGGAGAATGGAAAGGACATGTCATGTGCGAGGAATAGGAAGTAGGACAGTACAGCTAGACTATAATGAATGTGGTGAAGAACAAGATGCAGGAAAACTGGAAAGGTAAGAAGGGGCTAGGTTATAAAAAGCTTTATATGACAAACAAAGGATGCTATTTAACCCTAGGGAGCGTAACTGGAGTTTACTGAGTAAGGGGGTGACATTTGTGATTTAAGAGAACCACTTTGGAGAAAAATTTTAAACTCAAAAGCATATGGAAGTGATTGTTGATAAATCAAAATAAATTAATAAAAAAGAAAAAAAGAAAAAAGAAAACCACTTTGGTAACTGTGGAAAACAGACTGAGTGGGAAGAGGCTTGAAACTGGAAGACCAGTCAGAAGGTCATTACAGATTACTAGAGGAAAGGGACTGCACTAATGTGGTGGGTGTATGAATAGAGAGGAGAGGAAAGATGTGGAAGACGTTGTAAAGACAGAAACAACAAACTTTCATAACTGTGAGGGGGAGTGAGGACTAAGAGTTAAAGCAGAGGTTGTGTGAACCTGGGTGACTGAAAGGATAGCGGTATCCTTGATAATCATGACAAAAGAATCCTAGTTTTGGGCATGCTGAGTTTGGAATACCTAAGAGACATCTAGTTTAAAACATACATTTGGTTGGTAATGCAGGATGGAAGGTCAGGAGAGACTAGAGTTAGATACAAACATCTAGGAATCATTAGCATAAACAGGAGTTGAGATCACCAAGCATGATAGTGCAATGGGTAAAGAGAAGAAGGCTGAGGACAGAGACTAAGGGTACATGTCAGATCCAACAAGGTGGCTCAAAAGGGGCAATCCAGCATGCAGCAGGACAATCAGGACAGAACTATGGGAAAATGCAGAAAGTATCCAGGAGGAGGTGATCAAGAGTGTCAAATGCTGCAGAGAAGTCAAGAAGATTTGGAATTGGGAAAAAACCATTAGATTTGGCAATTAATGGATCACCAATAACTCTGGAGAAAGTAGCTTCAGCAAAATGATGAGGTCTGAAGTCAGCCTGCAGAGGGCTTAGAAGAGAACAAAAGAAATGGGAGGCATTCAGTATACACAGCTTTGTCAACGAATTTAGCTGAGGAAGAGAGATACACAGGACAGTAACTAGAAAGGATGGGAGGATCTAGTGAGTTTTTCAAGAATGGAGGAACCATAGGAAATGTTCATAGGCAACAGAGAAGGAACCAGCAAAACAGAGACTCAAAATTATTTAAGATTAATCTGCGAAGAGAGAAATTGTGAATGATAGTAAAGACAGTCTTTTAGAGAAGATGGAAGGGGTATATGTAGAGATAGTGGCCATAGCAAGAACGGTTTGCTCACTAAGAATGGACCTTTTATTTTTGTACGTGTCAAGTCCAGTATGAGGCTAAGTCATCAACCTGAAAAGTGGTGTAGGAGGTAATATGGGAGACTTGAAGAGAGGTGTTAGAACAGCCACCTTAGGAAGTGGGATACAGCACTGATCTGAGAAGAATAAAGGACTGCCCTGCATCAGTGAGAACCCAGTTGAGCTTAGATAACACAAATCTGTAGTGGACCCAGTCAGCACAATTTTATGACTTTCTCTAGCTCTGCTCAGTAGAAAATGAGTAGGCAAAAAGGAGGAAGGTAGGAGTAATACACTGTCTTTGAAACAGTTTCAACTGAAAATTCCCACACCAAACACTACTACATTTTAAAGCAGCAGATTAAATACTGGGTTATAGAAGTTCACCTACAGGCAAAAGAAACTATGTTTGAAAAGTTACATTAGGCTTATTTCCCCTGAAAGTTCCTAGTTCATACTAGTTCATGTGCTCTTACGTTAGCAGAAATTGTGCCATACTCCTGATAAAAAAAAATTTAGAAGAGATATTAAAGTTAACATTTTTAACTATAGTTTGTAGCACCTATCTCTCAGTACAAAAAGTAATTTCTATGGCATATTTTAAGTTTTTATAAATATGGTGAGATAAACATAAAAACCAGATGCTTAAAATTCATACATTTATTCAGCATACCAGTTCTATTTGAGCTTTAGACGAAAAAACATACCTAAACATTAACTTCCCTCTCTAGTTGGCTGGGGCATTCCTTCAACCTATTTTAGGTGTCTAATAGCATTTATATAATGACTTAAAGTTTGCAAAGTGCTTTATAAATATTATCTCATTTTATCCTCAAAACAACCTAGGAGATGGATGCTTTTATTATTTTCATTTTACAGAAGAAACTGAGGCAAACAGAGGTTAAATTACTTGTCAAAGGTCATACAGCTTAGCTAAGAGAAAGATGGAATCTCAACGTGTTTAATTCCTCCCTGAGACACTTATTAGATGCATTACCCTAGGCAAGTCACTTAACAGCTCTCAGCCTCAGTTTCTTTATCTGTAAAATGAAGAAGCTGGACTTCGAAGTCAGATTCCAGTTCAAAATCTATATTCCTTATAAATTCAGTTTTCCACATACAATCATACACACAAAAGACACGTGCAAAAAAAAAAGACAAAAGTGAACAGGAGAGGAAAAAATTAATCATAATCTGGTGATTTTTAAAATAAGCAGCCTGTTCTAAGAAAATTCAAAATTGAACTAATTTGCTCAGTTTGCTTAAAAGGTTAGTGTTATATTGTACAAAAAACCCTTTTCTTCAATTCTGGAAGACTTAGTTATGGTTATCCTAAGATATCCTAAGAATTAGAATCCAGAAAGCCATTATTCTCAAATTGCACAATTTATTACTGTAGTCAATAAAACTATATTAAATATTTTAAATTATGTTGAAATTTCCACTTTCTTTTCAATAACAAAACTATCCTCAAGGACTGCCTTTTTGCAATATTTCATACAGGTACCTAAGAATGACAACCTTAAACGGAAGTCCCAAGTCCATTAAAAGTCAAATCCTGTTACAACACCAGGAGGTAACGATATTCTCATTGTACTGAAATCTCCTTATTTGAATATTTTCATAAAATAACTGGAATCTGGGAAGAAGTTTGAAAATAAGATTTATATTATTTTATATTCATTATAATGAGATCCAAACAACAGATGAATCTTTTTTCTCCTATGGATGTTTTTAAAAGGTTTATATGCAAATAAAATACTGCAAATTCAATCATTTTAAACACACTCTAAGTTTATTATTTACTTCAAAGACAAAATAAACGGGCCAAATAAATTTAAGATCAATTTAAAAGTCGTGATCCTATGACTTTAATTTTAATGCTGTGTAACCTCAAGGTAAGTCAACCTCTCTCTGGTTTTCAGTTTATCTGTCAAAAATGAGGGGAGAGCAGATAATCTCTGAGGTCCATTTCAGCTCTAAGATCCTTCCATTCCTTCTACGGAAGGACCAAGTCCACAATTCTCTGCTTCTGCTTTAATTCTGTAATATATGACCAGAACTATCATGAAACCTCCCCAATTTTGTTCAAGTTTAATAGGTAAACTATGGACTTTTCCCACCTAATTGTTTGGCTGATTAAAAACCAAAAAGGGGAGGGGGGAACCACAGGAATAGATGTTGGACACGTCCTGCGTTTCTAACCAAGCCTTCCCTAAATTAGTCATTTCATGCATGAATTGCATACTTTGCCTCCATATTTATCTTACAATCAAGGCTTTTTAAGAGTGCTTAATAACAACCACCCCTTAGGCAATCATTCACCAGCTCTGGCTCCGAAGTAACTGATGGGCATAAGGAGTCTGGTTTCCAGCTATGTATCCCGGGCTTAGATAACCCTTCCTAAAAATTTCTGCCAATTTCCCAACCGAAAATCAGATGAACGACTGCAGCAGGGACAGCCAGGTATTTCTCGCGAGCAAAATGCAACCAAACGGCCACCAAAAGCCTCCCCGAAACCCCGCTGTCCGGGGCGCGGAAACTTTTAGGGGTGCCGCGACGGGAGGGTGTCTGCGGTCTGTCTTCAGGGACCGAAGATGAGGGTCAAGTGCACAGCTCCCCAGGCCCCCGGCTCGCAGCGGCTCCCCCGCCTCCCCCTCGGCGGGGCTCCCTGCCCCGGCCCCCGAACAAGGGGCCCCCGCGGCCCGGCAGGTGCCTCCCTCCGGGAGGGGCCCCAGCATCCGGACAGGCGGGGCACACAAAGGGCCCCCCGCCCCGGCGCCCCCCGCACGCACTCACAGGCTGCCCGAGCAGGAGGTACACACGAAGGAGCCCACGGTCATGTTCACGTAGGTGGGGCCCCGCTGGTCGCAGTCGAAGCACTTGCGGTTGTGCGCGAGGCCGGTCATGTCCCGCAGCATCTTCAGGTGCTTCTCCTCCTGCTTCCGCTTCGCGCTGGCCGCCATGGCCGCGGCGGGGAGGGCAGGGAGGGAGGGGAAGGGAGGAGAGGGAGCCGGGCGGCGCTGCGCCCGGACCCGCACCGCGCACCGCCCGCCCGTCAGCCGCCGCGCTCGGGCACCCCGGCTCGGCCCGGTCCGGCGCGGCCCCGGCCCCGGCCCTAGGGCCGCCCCGCCGCAGACTCCGCGCGCGGCCTCGCTGGAGACCCCGACAAGCCGGCCAGCAGCGAGCGCCGACCCCGCTGCCGCCCCTGCCGCCGCCCCTGCCGCCGCCGCCGCCGCCGCCGCCACCACCTTCCCGACTTCTCCTGAGGGGAAAAGACAAGGAAGGGGAACGGCCAAGAGGAGGCCCGCCCCGGGGCGGCCGCAGGCCAAGTGTCCGCCCGCGCCCTCTCCTGGACGGGAGGAGTCACTGCAGGCAGCGTGCGCGCACCGAGGAGGGGGCGTGCCTAGGCTTGGCGCCTTCCCTCAGCGAAGGCTCTCCAGAACGTCCTGTCTGCGTGCGTGCTGTCTGCCCCGCAGGGCCGGTGAGCCGGCCGAGGGCAGCGGCTGGAGCTTCTCGGAGAGCCTTCTGTTGTGCGCCCAGCACTTGGCTTGTTATTGTTCAGTCGTGTCCGACTCTTCTTGGCCCCATTTCTGGTTTTCTTGGCAGAGATGTGGTTTGCCACTTCCTTCTCCAGCTCATTTTACAGATGAGGAAACTGAGACAAACAGGGTGAAGTGACTTGCACAGGGTCACCCTGCTAGGAAGTGTCTGGGGTCACATTTGAACTCAGGTTTTCCAGACTCCGGGGCCGGTGCTCTATCCGCTGAGCCACCTAGCTGCCCCCTGACCCATAGTAGGCTCTTAATAAATAGCCCAATAAATGCTTCCTTCCTAACCCTCCCTCCCTCCCTCTCTTCCTTCTTTCCTCCTCCCTCCCTCCCTTCCTTCCCTCTTTCTTCTTTCCGCCTTCCTCTTTCCTTCTTTCCTCACTCCCTCCCTTCCTTTCTTCCTGCTCAAAATCTATGCTTAATGCACATGACACCACATAGCAGTCATCTATGTTAACCTTTGATTCCTCCCCCGCAGCCAATGAGAAGTTCTATGGTTTTTACCTCTGGAATCTCTCTTCCATTTGGCCCCTCCATTTTACTCCCACCATACTGCCCTTAGCGCCACAGGCCTAACCCATTGCTGCAGCCTCTTGCCTGATCTTCTAAGCTCTTAGCCCAGTGCCTGGCAAGTGATTTAAATGCTGATTCTCTTCCTCCTTCATTGCTTCCTCCTCTACTGCTGTCTTTTAATTACTGCCAAATTAATCTCCCTTTTATTACGCAGATCTGAAGTCCCATTGGCTTACTATTGGCTCTTGGATATGGTTTAAACTCAGCCTGGCATTTGAGGCCGCTGACAAATTGGAATCACCTTATCTTTTCAGCTTTGTCTTACCTTATGATTCCTTCTTTCATGCCTTTTCTAATGCTGTTCCCTATGGCTAGAGTGCCTCCCCTGCCACATTCTGCACCTGTTGTAACTCTACAGGTCCTTTAAGGCCAGGCTCAAATGCAATATCTTCCTGGAAGCCTTTCTTGGTCCTCCATCAATCAGACAGACCTCACATAGCATCCGTTTTACACCTCTTTTATGCACTTGCCATCTGTCATAGCATTTCAGATTTCAAAGGAACCTGAGGTCAGCTGTCTCATCCAAACTGAATAAGGAATAGCAGTTTCTGAATAGAAAACCCCTCTGCAACTTACTTGACAAATTCACATCCAGCCTTTGCTTAAATACATCCCAAAGATCAGAAACTCATTACCTCCCAAAGCAACCTATTCTGTTTTTCTGAATTGTAAATGTTAGGAAGTTGTTTCTTTTATTAAACTAAAGTCAGTCTTTGCTCCAATCTCTATCCCTTGGGGCCAGCCAAAGCAAATGCAGTATTTCTTCCAGAGAAAGTCCTCCAGATACTAAAAGATAGCTGTCATCTAGCACTCCAGTTGTAGATTGGAGGCTCCGTATTGGGGCTGGGCCTTATTTAATCATAGTGGGCCTTCCCACCAACCCACTCCTAGGACAATGTTCTGCATACAAAAAGTGCTTAATAAATGTTCACTGAAGTTGAAGCTCCAGGCTCCTGGTGGAAATGATTGACCAAATGCCTTACTACACCTTGTAATCAAAATGTCACCTTCAGTTAAAAAGAAAAAGAGAAAAACTTGTAAGGTCAAGGTGAGGAATTTAATTCTACCTAGGGGATTCAACTACTCATGGAGCTTACTCAGGTAACTGGCACACAGACATCTCCAACCCCAGATTAACCCAAAAAAATCCCTGCCTCTCTGGCTTCCTTCAAGATTCATCTCAAATCCCACCTTCTCCAGGACACCCTTCCCAATCTATTTGCTCCTCTCCCTTCCCCTGTGAGTGCATTCCCTCTCAGATTACCTTCTATGTGTATATCTCATACGTGTCTAATCATTTGTGTGTTGTTACTCCCTTTAGAATGTGTGAGTGGGAACTTTATTTTTCCCTTGCTTTGTATCCCCAGTGCCTATCACAGAGCCTGGCTCTTAGGAGCGCTTAATAAATGCTTGTTGAATCACCAACTGATTTCAAGACAAATGTCTATTTCATTAACCACAAAGGGAATACTATATTGACTCCACACATGGTATGGATGCAGGCCAGCCTAGCTGTACTTGCTTTTTTTGACAGAATAACTCAATTGGTAGATGAGAAGAGTACGGTAGATATTAGTAAGCTAGATTTTAGCAAAGCATTTAACAAATTTTCTTATGTTAGTACTGTGGGAAAGGAGAAATGTAGAGTAGACAATAGTGAAGTTAGGTTGGCTCATAACTGACTAATCATCAGTGGTCCCATATCCCCTTGGAAGGAGATTTCCCTTAGAGCATCCCAGGATTCTGTTCTTGGCCCTGCTGCATTTTTATCAGTGACTTAGATGGCAAGCTTATCAGGTTTTCAGATGACACAAAGCTGAGAGAAATAGCTAGCACCTCAGTTGATAGATTTAGGATTCACAAAAATCTTAAATTTGAGGCAGCTAGGTAGATGGTGCAGTGGATAGAAAACTGGACTTGAGTCCAAAAGAACTAAATTCTAATCTTGCCTCACACCCCTATTACCTCTATGACTCTGGGCAAACCACTTCACCTCTATCTGCCTTAGTTTCCTCATCTGTAAAATGAAGATAACAACAGCACCTAGCTCCTAGTGTTGAGAGGATCAAATGAGTTAATATTTGTAAAGCACTCTGCAAATCTAAAAGTGTGGTATAAATGCTAGCTATTATCGTTACTAAATAAAAGAACATTGAGCTGAATCTAAGAGGATGAGATTTAATAGAGGTAAATATAAAAGTCCCATAGATTCAAAAGATCAGCTTCACATGTATAGGATAGGGGAAGCCTGGCTCAGCAGCAGGACACCTGGGGTCCTAGATGACCAAAGGAAAGTTCAACATAAGTGAACAGTCTAATGCAGAACAAGAAAGCTAATGCAGACTTAGACTGAATTAAGGGCAACACAGCATCTGGCAATTTGAATGCAAGAGTCCTCCTATATTCTGCCTGTCAGAATACATCTGGGTTATGATGTTCAGTTTTTGGGTACTGTATTTTAGAAAAGACCCGGATAAGCCAACAACGGATGGAAAGAAAACGATCAGTATGGTAAAGGGGCTTCAGTCCATGTCATATGAAGATAATTTGAAATTTAACTAGGAAAAAAAGGAACATAGGAAAGAATGACGACTGTCTTTAAGATACTCAGGCTTCCTGGGCCCAAGGACTCTCATCTGCCAAATGAAGAGATCAAACCAAAAGAGTGCTGAGGTCCCTTCAAGAGCCAGGTTTGTGAACCTGTCATTCTAAGTACTTGAAAGGCTGTTCCATGACAGGTGAAGTGAACTCATTCTTTTTGACCCCAGAAAACAGGTCTAGGACCATGGGGTAGGAGCTGCAAAGGGGAAGATTTAGACCTGATGAAAGAAAAGACTTTCTAACAATTGGAGCTACCCAAAAAGTGGGACCAACTACTTCGAAAACTCAGGAGTTCCATCTCACTTGAGGTCCTCAAGCAAAGGCTGGGTGAGTTTTTGCCAGGAATGTTGTAAAGGGGATCCTTTTTCAAGTAAACAGTGAAATAAGGGAACCCTAACCACTCTTGCAACATTGATGTTCTGTGACTGATTTCCACAGGAGGAGAACATGTCAGAAGTATAAAATGCCTGTGAAATTTTAGGTCAACTGACAGGGATAGAATAACTTCTCAATGATATGGGGTTAGATGTTAATTAACATAGGGTGCTTAACTTTTTAAAATCTGTTTGCTTCCTAGCTGACCCGCTTCTTTGTTAAACACCTAGGCCCGTGCATGCCTGGCTGAAAAATAACAGCTTGTGATGCAGCATGCAGACTTTGACATCAGACCTGCAATGGCAAAGGTCTAAGACCTCTACAAATTCAAATACATCTCCTAAGGTTTCACTTCCTCAGTAGGACCCGCCTTCTTGCAGAATGAAGCAGACTGTATCTTTGCTGAGGCCCTAGGGAACTAGTTGCCAACTCATCCCAGACTAACCCTACCCACACTGACTGAAAGGAGCAATTCTCTGGGCCTACTTCAGTGCAAATTGTTTTAATTCAGGGAAAGGAAATATAATGAAGAGAATGAGAATAGCACCTGAGATGCTGCTGTTAGATGGTCACCAGCCCTTTTTTCCAACATAGAATGGAAGGAGGGGTAAAGGAGACTTTTCTAAAGTCTTCCTCAGATGCTAAATCATGTCATGGAGGAAACCCTGAGTTCTTGAAGTATAAGGCAGTGGAACAAAAGCTCTGACAGGTTCTGCCAATCGAGCAATCAGTAAGCATTTGCTAAATGCTTTTTCATCTGGAAGGAAGGAAACAAGCATTTATTAAGCACCTACTGTGTGCCAGGCATTGTCCTTCATACTTTATGAATAGTTTCAGTGTTAGGTAAGGTACAAACTATAGCTATACTGGTCCAAGGACTAGCCAAATCCAGAGAAGGTCATTGACAAAGAAAAGACCAGTCATTTATTTGGGCCACAGCAACACATGAAGAGTACTCATTGAGGTGAAGGGG